CTTTGTAGGTAATCTTTTTTTTTTTTTTTTTTTTTTTTGAGACACTTTGTCGCTTTCCGTAGAGTGCTGTGGCATCATAGCTTATAGCAACCTGAAACTCTTGGGCTCAGGCTATTCTCTTGTCTTGGCCTCCTGAATAGCTGGGACTACACATGCCTGCCACAATGCCCAGCTATTTTTTAGAGACGGGGTCTTGCCTTGCTCAGGCTGTTCTTGAATTCCTGAGCTCAGGCAATCTCCCTGCCTCTGCCTCCCAGAGTGCTAGGATTATAGGTGTGAACCACCATGCCTAGCCACAGCCTGGATTTTTAAAAAGCTTTATGAAGGGCAACAGATTTTACTATATTGTTCAACAGTAATGATAAAGAAGCCATGACTTTTATTTTATATGTATATGTATCTACATGTATGAACATTGAATTGCTCTGAGCTTTCACTGTTTTTGGACAGTCCTATTTTTGTACATTGCTGGTAACATAGCACCATTTTGGAGAGCAATTTGATAATAATATATTTCAGGAATCATAGATTATTATCTTGTTGGATATAGAGTCCCATTTCTGAGATTCTCTAATAAGGAAATAAAAAAATATAGTAATAACTATATCCTTAAAAATTGCCTACATAATAAATAAGTAGAAAAGGCCAGGTGCAGTGGCTCACACCTGTAATCCTAGTACTCTGGGAGCCTGAGGCTAGTAGATTGCATGAGCTCATGAGTTCGAGACCAGCCTGAGCCAGAGTGAGACCTCATCTCTAAAAATAGCTGGGTATTGTGGCAGGTGCCTGTAGTTGGCTAAGGCAAGTGAATTTCTTGAGCCCAGGAGTTTAAGGTTGCTGTGAGCTGTGATGCTATGGCATTCTACCCAGGGTGACAAAGTGAGACTCTGTCTCAGAGAAATAAAAAAAGGTAGAAAGACTGTAAATGTCCTATTAAGGGAAAGTGAAACTGGGCACAGCAGTGTGCACCTGTAGTCCCAGCTACTCAGGAGGCTGTGGTAGAAGATTGTTTGAGCCTAGGAGTTTGAGTCCAGCCTAGGCAACATAATAAGAGCCTGTCTCAAGGAAGAGAAAAAAGGAAGATCATTAAGTAAATTGTGATTTTTGTGTTAGATGGAATGTTAATCTGTTTAGTGGTGAAGACTAGTAGACATGGAAAGTTTTGCATGACTCTTTTGTATCATTTGCCACTTTTATATATCCACTGTGATGACTATGTTAGAGAACATGTATGTGAAAAATTCTGGAAGGACATATATACAAAGATAACATTTATGGCATTTGGGTGATAAGATTGTCAATGGTGATTTTTTTTTTCTACCTTTTTTTTTTTGAGGCAGAGTCTCACTTTCTTGCCCAGGTAGAGTGCTGTGGTGTCATAGCTTACAGCAACCTCAAACTCTTGGGCTCGAGGGATCCTATTGCCTCAGCCTCCCAAGTAGCTGGGACTATAGGCGCCCATCACCAGACCTGGCTACTTTTAGAGATGAGGTCTTGGTCTTGCTCTTGCTCAGGCTGGTCTTGAACTTGTTAGCTCAATCAGTCCACGTGTCTGGGACCTCCCAGAGTGCTAGAATTATAGGTGTAAGCCACCATGCCTGCTTTTTCTACTTTTTTTTAAAGCTTTGTTTTTAGATAATGTTCTATGCAATAATAAAATTTTGGGGTAAAAAATGGCTCCATTCTGTGTCTCTCCCTTCCCATTTTTGCCACCTTTATCACTATATTTTGGTGGTTTATTCTGCATGAGGAAATAGTCTGCCTATCTGTGTTTAAGACTAGCTGTGGAATTCTTAGGTTATTTGAGCAGTTGCGAGTATAAGAAGGAAAGGCAACAATAATTTTAGATTATGAAAAATGTCTAGACTAAAATTGTCTTGATTGTTTATGGCATATTTTAAAATTTTAATAGGTTTGCAGAATGGCTTCTGATTACTCAAGAACATGTGCTAGCCCAGATAGCATTCAGACTGGTGATGCTCCTATTGTCTCAGAAACCTGTGAGGTTTATGTTTGGGGTAGCAACAGCAGCCATCAGTTGGTAGAAGGCACACAGGAGAAAATATTGCAACCCAAACTGGCTCCTAGTTTCTCTGATGCTCAGACCGTAAGTTCTCTGTATACCTTACAAACTGGTAGACAGTGGGGTATATGTTCATGTTTATTTGCTTTAAATAATATTAAGAATACTTTAAAAAATATTAAGAATACTTTAAAATTACTGAAAATTCTTGATCATTGTTTCTTATCTATATTATTTCTATTCCATGGTGCATCTATATGTTCAATATGCATTTTTAGTCCCCTATATCCCTGACAGCATTTCCAAATTTTAAAAATATAAATTGATATCTGGATTTTTAAAAAAGTATTATGAATGACAATAGACTTTACCATTATATTCAACACAAATGGCAAATAAGACTAAATAAAAACTGAATTTTCCTTTTACCAGATTGGTATTTCATTTTTATTATGATTACTGTTTTTAACATTTATAGCCAAGCTAGAACTTTCTTTTTTTTTATTATTTTCATTAAAATGTATTTTGTATTGTTTTTGCCTTAATGGACCCCAAGGAAGTAGTAGGACAATTTTATTTCTTGCCCTTCGTCCATTTATAAGAGGAGGTGAAAACATTTTACTTTGTTATTTCTTTTAATTATAACCTGGAAGATAATCTGAAAAGATAAAATATGCCTGAATTTGAGCTCAGTGAGGAAGTCAGCATGAAAAGTCCTTTAGTGTTCTCTTGATTTTCTATTCATTTCTTTTTTTTTTTAATTTGTTTCTTAATCTCTATAGAGACTCAGGTAATACTCTCCTTTAGCAGACTTCCTGTGAGCCTCTTTGATAAGATCAACCTTAAATATTATACTTTCATTTTCCTAGAAGCATTTTATATTTAAAATTCTGTTTATTTGTTTATAGATTGAAGCTGGACAATACTGCACTTTTGTCATTTCTACGGATGGCTCTGTCAGAGCTTGCGGTAAAGGCAGCTATGGGAGACTGGGCCTTGGAGATTCCAATAATCAGTCTACGTTAAAAAAGTTAACATTTGAGCCTCACAGGTCCATTAAAAAGGTTTCATCATCTAAAGGATCTGATGGTCATACTTTAGCTTTTACAACAGAAGGAGAAGTCTTCAGTTGGGGAGACGGTGATTATGGGAAACTGGGACATGGAAATAGTTCAACACAGAAATATCCCAAGCTTATTCAGGGCCCTCTACAGGGAAAGGTATGTGCTTTCTTTTTGTATTTAAAAACAAATAGATATAGTGGTGTTATAACTGATGACATTATTCAGATTTTGATGTGTTCTTTCTGAAGTTGCCCCTTGCCTGTCACCCTTTGGCTTATCTTTTGTATATCTGCTTTATAGTTTACAGAACACTTTCACATACGTTATTCAATTTTAATTCTTATAAGAATAATTATATTGTTGTGAGATTGTTATTATACCCATTTCACAAATAAGGAAACTGGGAATCATTCATTCAACTAATATTTACTTAGCACCTTCCAAGTGTCAGGCAGTGTTTCAAGCCTTAGACATACAGCAGTGAGCAAGATAGATAAGGTGCTTGAGCTTTAATCTTTAAGATAGAGATAATAAATAAGATAGTAATCATATAAAATAATTTCAGATAATAGTATAGAAAAAATTGAGTAATATAATAAAGACTAAATTGGGTAGAGTGTGATATTAAATAAGGGGATCAAAGGATGCTCTTAAGGGAGGCAGCATTTTAGCAGAGACCCAAATGATGAAGCATATAGAGCTCAATATTCCACACAAATATTTGGCACTGTTAGAAACTTAACCTGGATCTTCTATTTTTATTTCTATTTGATTTTTCTTTAAAGAAATAAAGGTATTTTCCTATACTTCCATGTAATAATACTGGATCCACTATTTTAAGATTACTTTCTTTCCATGAATACTTTATTTTATAAAAATCTTTATATCCTTGCTCTGTGGCACCATTCCTATAGGCTCCCCTGGTCCTCTAGCTCCTATTCCCCTGACTCTCTTGGCTCCTGACACCCTAGTAGGCCCCAAGCATGAGGTGGACATGCACCCTATCTCTGCCCCAGCTTGTGTATCCTGATGTCACCATGAAACCGTTGCCTTCCTGTGAAGTCTACAGGGAACTCACCTGGCCCACTACCTTTGTATCTACTTCTTGCTAGCAGTTTGAGGAAGTGCACTTTACCTTTGTTTGCCCTTACACCCCAGCAAGTACAGCAGATTCTTATATCCAGAGAAGTTCTACCAGGAGCTAAATGCAGGTATCCCATACAGGTGTAGCTAAGATTCTGTGTCTGTGAGACCAGGTGTCTCTCAGAGGATTATTTCTTTCCCAACCTCTTTGTCAAGGCTGCTGGGAAACGGAGCCCTTGCCGTTTACCTTCCCCTCACCAAGAGGCCCAGCCACTCCATTAGTATCACACCTCTGGCTTGATTCTTGGCCATTGTTCCCAAGACTGTTGTGGCCAATTGGTTCTCTGAGTTTGGATGGTATACTCCTTGTCTGTGTATCTGGTGAGGTAGTTGACTGTGAGGACCTTTCTATAAAAACTCAGAGAAAAGGGTATCCAGAACCCTTTATCCAGACTACTTCCAGGCTCTGATCAAGGGAAAATTGACCGCTGACCTGGATAGTGAGGCCATGAGTCTCTGGATGTGCCTCATATGCCCATTAGGGAAGATGGGCCTGAATGTCCCTTGTTGTGCCCTCACCTGAGTCCACCTGCAGAGCTTCAGTGGTGCCTTTATCTATAGATGAGTAAGAAGACGCCAACGTGGATCTGTACAGTGTGTGACAAAAAGTCTTTCTATGAATCCCTTATCATTGATGGTTATTTATAGAGATTAATTCCTGTTGAGATTGTGATGAGATCCAGTTCATGGAAGATGGATTTTGGTGCCCAGTGAAACCCAAGAAGAGGCATCTGAGGTTTGCCCCCCACCAGACTATGGAATGGATGGCCTCCAGTAGAACCTAGTCCAAGAGGGAAATGCTTCAAAGAATAAGGTTGAAGTTATTGACTTAACAATAGAAAGTTCATCAGATAAGGAGGATCTGCCTCCAATCAAGAAGCACTGTTCTGTCACTGAGCTGCCATCCCAACCATACCTAGAAGCAAAGGAGTCCTGATGTCTGGTCACCAGTCCTCAGTGCTGTAGAGCCCTCTTATGGGCATATTGGGTGGGGATTTCCTGTCTAGTCTTCCACTGCATGAGAACCCACCTGCCTTCTCACTGGGGACAGATATCCAAGGATTAGATTTATTTTCTTTCCTTCAGACTTTAGCACAATAGTCCCTCTGTGATCACTTTACTAGAGGAACAGCATACCCTTGGCCACTTCTAGTACTGGGGGATCCTTTCCTACTTTCAGGGCCCACTGGTTCCATGTTGGGGAGCTCCCACCATTGTCCCCTCCAGCATCCCTTCCTGTCCATGTCAGCATTATGGCCTCTGGGGGAACCTTGAGGAAGGGACATGGAGGACTTCTGCCCTCAGATCTTTCTTTGACTGACTGTCAGATCCTGGACTGAGTTCCTTAGGTTATGGGAACTTCACTACTCTCCAACACTGGGCAAGTATGCTGTGGAGTCCTGACCCCTGGCTACTCTGACCTGTCCAGGGACTTGGCCAAAAGCCAGAGACACCCTCATGGAGATCTACTTTTGGCATCTCTGCTTGAAAGGACATTGGGGTCTATTTTTGGAAATATTCTTTAGTGGTGGCATATTCCTTTTGGTATGTTAACTTTGGAGCGGAAGGCAAATGGGATGGGATGAAACTTGGAGAAGAGCTGAATCCTTAGCCTTCCTTTACTGTGTTTGGAGCCCTTTGGTTAAGGGGCCCTACTCTTGTCTCTTAGATTTCCTCTCTTCTCATCCATAAACTCATGGCTCTATTTCTTCTCCTACATCCATTGTTTCTTCATGTCCATTCTGTTCCTTTTGTCTGCACGGACAGATGGAGAAAGTGAGATAGGCAGTTTCAGAGATGGACTGAGCATTTTATTTTGGGTTGTGGATTTTTTGTGCACAAACATGAAAAACCAGAATACTATATAGATGACTTCTGCTTTCTACTTCCAGTATGACTGAGGAGGAGCTAGGGCCCATCATCCCCAGGGGTTTGGAAACAGGGCCTAGCCTATTGCTTAGGTCTTTCTCTATTTATATATTTAAGTTTACAATGTTTCTTATGCCAACAGGCCTGGGGCCTAAGCCTGTAGAGGCACCTGGCCCTGAGGTTAGTGTTGGCTCATTCTGTACCTTTCTGGGGAGCTAGGCTAACTCTTGTGTTCTCTTTCCTAATCTCTGTTATTGGGCTTCTCTTTGGCCTAGGACCTATGTTGTAATTTTACTTTTTATTCCCCAAATTGTAGCAAAGTTCTCACCCATAATAAAAGTTGTGAATGTTCAATGAAAAAAAATTTATAAAGTCTAAATTTTATTTTATTTTTGAGATAGAATCTCATTTTCTTTTTTTTTTACTTTTTTTTTTTTTTTAGAGACAGTCTCACTTTATCGTCCTTGGTAGGGTGCTGTGGCATCACACAGCTCATAGTAACTTCCAACTCCTGGGCTTGGGCGATTCTCTTACCTCAGCCTTCCAAGTAGCTGGGACCACAGGCGCCCCCCACCCCCACTAATGCCCGGCTATTTATTTGTTGCAGTTTTGGTTAGGGCCGGGTTTGAACCTGCCAGCCTCGGTATATGGGGTTGGCGCCCTAGTCATAGAGCCACGGGCGCCACCCAATAGAGTCTCACTTTCTTACCCCAGGTAGAGTGCCATGGCATCATAGCTCACAGAGACCTCAAACTCTTGGACTCAAGCAATCCTCTTGCCTCAGCCTCCCAAGTAGCTGGGACTATAGGCACCTGCCATAATAACCCTCCTATTTTTTTAGAGGTGGAGTAGGGGGAGGGTCTTGTTCTTGCTCGGGTTGGTCTCAAACTCTTGAACTCAAGCACTCCACCCACCTCAGCCTCCCAGAGTTAAAGTCTAAATTTTAACTTTATGCCAGAATTACAAGTGGGACATTTTTTTCTTCATGGAAAGTTTTCTGACAGGTTTGGCTACCAAATGAATTTTACTGTACTGTAACTGGCAGTATTTAATTTACACACCAACATAAAGAGCAATGGATCTCAGGACATTCTACTTTGAAAATATTAGAGGATAGTTGATGAGTTATGAGATGTTACACACAGGACACTAAGGAACTTCAGATAAATACTATTTGAAATTGTATTTTCTTGGTCTTTCTAGCACTTTCTTCCTTTCCATTTTTTATATTCTGTTTAATGTTTTTGCTTTTTTTTGAGATAGAGTCTTACTATATGACCCTGGTCTACGTAGAGTACTATGGTGTCATAGCTCACAGCAATCTCAAACTCCTGGACTCAAGTGATCCTCTTGCCTCAGCTAACAGAGTAGCTAGAACTATAGACACCAACCACAATGCCTGGCTATTTTTAGAGACAGGGTCTTGCTTTTGCCCAGGCTGGATGACAGGTACTTGCCAGAACACCTGGATAGTTTTTTCTATTTTTAGTAGAGAAAGGGTCTCACTCTTGCTCAGGCTGGTCTCAAATTCCTGATCTCAAGCAGTCTACCCTCCTTGGCCTCCCAGAGTGCTAGGATTACAAGCGTGAGACACCTCAGCCGGCCTATTTAATGTTCTATTTTTATAATGGAAACATTGTCAATTAAAAACAACATAGTATAAGCATCACTGAGGAAAAATGTTACAACTTTATTTTATTTTTTTAGGGACACAGTCTCACTTTGTCACCCTTGGTAGAGTGCTGTGGTGTCACAGCTCACAGCAACCTCCAGCTCTTGGGCTTAGGTGATTCTCTTGCCTCAGCCTCCTGAGTAGTTGGGACTACAGGTGCCCACCACAATGCCCAGCTATTTTTTTGTTACAGTTTGGCCAGGGCAGGGTTTGAACCCACCACCCCTTGGTATATGGGGCCGGTGCCCTACTCACTGAGCCACAGGCATCGCCCCAAAAATGTCACAACTTTAAGTTAATAATTTACATGATGGAATTTGAAACTAATACAATCCCTATGGAAAGAAGTATGGAGGATTCTCAAAGAGCTAAAAGTAGACCTTCCATTTGATCCCACAATCCCATTACTAGGTATCTATCTACATAGTAGAAAACAACTCATTTTATCATAAAGACATTTGCACTAGAATGTTCATTGCAGCTCATTTCACAACTGCTAAGACATGAGATCAACCCAAGTACCCATCAACACATGGTTGGGTTCATTAACTGTGGTACATGTATACCATGGAACACTATTCAGCCATGAAAACATGGTGACTTTACATTTCTGTATTTACCTGGATGGAGTTGAAGAACATTCGTAGTAAAGTATCACAAAAGAGAAAAGCAAGTATCTGGTGTACCCAATACTATTATGAGACCAACAGATAAACAGTTGCACATCCACAGGAGAAAAAAACACAATTAAATTCGAGTGCAGGGAAGGGGAGCGGAGGGAAAGGGAGTGAGAAGGAGGAGGGAGGGGGATTGCTAAACTCACTTAATGAGTACAGTGGGAGAGTATACAGCACAGCACCCCCCCAAGGACTTAACTACAACTTGAACTTTACTTAACAAATACAAACAAGGTAACCTAATCATTTGTACTGTGATATTAATCTTAAATTAACAAAAAAAGAATTACAAAAAAATTAATAATTTATAGATAAAAATTTCAGAAATTCTTATAGTATCTAGAATGTATTAGGTGCTCAGTATTTTTAATTGAATCTAAAATTTCAGTTTCCTAAGATGAGCTCTAACTTCTGGAGATAAAAAAGACTTGGTACTATTAATGCAATTTTTTTTCTATTATTTCTTTTTACATTTCAGATTAATATGCGGGTACAAATGATTAGATTACACTCTTTGTGTGCATTTTTTTAATAGCCAATGATTTTGATTAGTGTTTAAAGATTTGAGCGATCACCAAATTATGTTGCTATTGTATACTGCTGGTTCTACTCACCAGTTGTATAGCTACTTGAGGTATTGTCAGGATTTAGTTAACATAAACTTATATACTGCTTAGATCTTTCTGTATTGATAATAGCCAGTATCTTTTGCAGAGTTATCCATATTTAGGTAAGGAATTTTTCTTGATCAGCCAGGACTGGAGGTTTTGTTAACCATATACTTTAAATATGGTCATTGTTCCAGCCTAAGCCAGTGGGAGTACCTTGTCTCTAAAAATAGCCAGGTATTGTAGTGAGCGCCTGTAATCCCAGCTACTTGGGAGGCAAGAGAATCACTTAAGCCTAGGAGTTTGAGGTTGCTGTGAGCTGTGATGCCAGTGCACTCTGCTGAGGGGCGATAAAGTGAGACACTGTCTCAAAAAACATAAAAAAAAATTAAAAAAAGATCATTGTTTCATGAGTAGTCAACTCTCTCCAACTCTTTGAGTAGACTTGGTTGGTGATACAGTATTCTTATAAGTGATTAGATTGGTATATTCAGGCCCCCTACTATCCCTTACACGGGTCTTTGTATGAATTGAGAAAAGTTATTCTCGTCTCTGGATGGTTGGTTTGGCAAGCAAAGCATAGGCTGTATTCAGCACTTACTTGACCTCTTTGCCAATCATCTGTGTCCTGAGCACAATCTCCACACCTGTACACACACAGCAGTTCTTGGATGAGTTGTGACTATTAACATCTCCAGAGTCTATATGTAGGATCAAATACAAACTATGTGTTTTCGCATGTGTGTGCTTATCAGTTCACTTGTGTGCACTGCAGGTGGTTGTTTGTGTGTCAGCTGGATATAGACATAGTGCTGCTGTCACAGAGGATGGTGAATTATATACGTGGGGTGAAGGAGACTTTGGAAGATTGGGTAAGATTTTAAAAAATTACAGTTATTCTCAAAAAATGGAAATGGTTATGGTTATTGAGAAGCAGAGTAGATTTAATGGGCTAAAGACTGCCACTTATTTTGCTAATTTTAAGCTCAGAGGAAGATAATTTTATAGAGATAATATCTAGATTTGGTTCTAATATTTAAGGTATAATTAAGATATATTTACTGAGTGCCTATTATGATCAGGCACTGTAGAGTTTCTGGGATAAGAATTATACCATCATGCTCTTGAAGTTTATATCTTAGTGGGTAGTGAAAACAAGTCAACATCAGTGTGATATAAGGTAAGTATTATGAGAGGACTCTGTTCTGAAAGAGAGGAGAATGTTCTGATGGTTCACTGAAGTGATGGGAACAGCGGGGAGATTGGTTAAGAAGATTATTAGAAATGATTCTGTTTTTCATACTGAATTGCGTTCAATTCTATTATAAAATTGTAATAATGTATTCTACTTATGAAATAATGGCCTAAGAAAGAGAGTTAACATTGTTTCTTTGTTGTTGTGTATGTTTTATCCAAGGTCACGGTGACAGTAATAGCCGTAACATTCCAACATTAGTAAAAGACATTAGCAATGTAGGAGAGGTTTCTTGTGGCAGCTCACATACTATTGCTTTATCTAAGGATGGGAGAACCGTATGGTCTTTTGGAGGAGGAGACAATGGTATGTAAAAAATTATTTATGGGTAGCTTTGGCCTTTTTATTAAAATTTATTATTAATTATGCATGTTTAGTATAGAAGACTTCAAATACAGATGAGCAGAAATAAAAATTAGAATTATTTGTACTTTTATAAATGTTGCTCTAACCACTGTTAACACTTTGGTAAATAGATTTCTAAATAAATATACATTTATATAAATATTTACAAATATTTCTACATAGATGTCTTTTTAAACCAAAGTAGACCTACATATGTTTTATATATGCTCATATATGTTTTAACATATATATGTTTCAGTATTGTATGTATATGTACTGTCATATTGTAACAGTATTTTATGAATATTTTTTTCTGTCAACAAACATGACTCTACCTCATTCTTTTAAATGGTTCCTATTCTTTCATGTGACTGTAGCTCAGTTCATGAAACTAATTTTTCCTTGTTGAATATCTAGGTGGTTTCCATTTTTTCCCCAGTATTAACAGCAGTATCATGAATTACTAAATCTTTGTCTAATTTGTCAATTCTACCAGCAGTATGAATGTTAACTAACATGCATACATTGTTGTGTATCCCTCAACACTACTAGGTATTAAAATTAAGATAATTTTAAAAATAAAATAGTATCATTTAATTTGTATTTTCTTGATTACTGGTGAGGTTGCATTTATGTTACTGGCAATTTTTTTTTTCTTCTTTAGTGACTTGCTTACTGTTTTATTTCATGAATTATTGAATCTTTTTAAAAATTTAAAAAATTTTATGTATATCCTTTTTTTAGGACCTGTATTTTATGTCAGCAAATTTAAAGTTAGAAATATAGTCATTAAAGAGAGAGAAAGACAGAAAAATAATTTTCCGTGTTTCTTGTAAAGTGATGTTAATTGACAGTTGTTAACTTCCTTGCAACAAAAATGCTCATTTGTTAATATCCTCAGCTATCAGACTCTTAACAGTTTTCCATATCTGTCGGGTTAGTGATGAAAAGATTAGAGCCCTTTATCACCTTTAGTACTTACCAAAAGAATAAAGGTTCTTTAAAATAAGTAAATTGTTTAACTTGAATGTGTTCATTTTTATAGGCAAACTTGGCCATGGTGATACCAACAGAGTATATAAACCTAAAGTTATTGAAGCTTTACAAGGAATGTTCATTCGCAAAGTTTGTGCTGGGAGCCAGTCTTCACTTGCTTTGACATCAACAGGGCAGGTAGGACCAGGTTGAGGATAACAGAGTTAAGAGTATTTCAGAGGACTAGATGATTAAAAGTAATAATTATATTTAAATTTTAAAATTAGAATACATTTCTAGGCAACACAGTGAAATGAAGTATTTTCTCCTGTTTGAAATGGAGTATCTGAGAAGGAACCAGGTTTTCTTACCTGGCCTGTGTGATTCAGATAAACATTCCCTCAGTCCCTTGTTCTTTGCATTGAGCTGCTTTTCTAAAATTTTTTAGCACTCAGTACCCCTTAAGTATTTTCCTAAAAATCATGGATAGTGAGGGAAAGGTAGACTAGATCTTGTTGGAACCAATGACGTGAATTAAGAAGGTGAAAAAGTTATCAAAAAAGAAGATAAAGAGAATATTTTCATATGGAAAATAATCTAAGAGGCTTAGGTATTTCTGAGAAACAGGGTTAGTCAAGTTTAGGATAGTCAGAATTTTATAATCCCTTTATAAGCTTTTGAACTTTTACTTGCATATTTGACTCTTCTGTTTATTTTTTGGTGATAGGGCCAGGTATGGTGATTGACAATATTTGCCCCTTTGTATCCATCAGTGATGTCAGTGAAAAAGTGAGCCTACCACTTAGTCTCTCACATATAGGAGCCTGTTATGTGCTATATAAAAATGTTTTCTGACTAGTTCACAAGGCAGATGAGCAGAAAAGCTGAAGTCACATAATTTATTCCTTGGGAAATGTGAATGCCTTGGGACCTAACAAATCCAACTCAAGCTATTGTTACATTTGTTGATTGCTGCCTTTACTAGTAATCATTCAGTTTGCTATTACTAAACCAAAGAAAGTTGATTTCAGATTGCCAAATTGGAGTCATTCATCCTTTTATCTTCCTGTTTTCTTCATATAATCCTTTCCCCAAGCATCTTAAGTCATTCAGTGAATATTTTGGTATTCAGTATTTAGTATAATATGAAGATATTCAAGGGGAACTGTCTAGACCACTGCTTCGTATGGCCTTCTTTGTAAGTGATAATTAAAATTGTTATAATAATGAGGTGAGATATTCTTAAAAACTAAATCATAAACATGAGTTTTAGGATTTATATAATCCATTTTATATGATCACATCCTGGTCTTGTTGATCTCACCTGCAGAGTAAGAAACATGTAAAAGAAAAGTTCAAGGCAATATTTCCAAAGGTGAGTGTGTTTTCCAAGGCAAACACAACAAAATGCAAACCAATTAGTAGTTTTAGCGTAATCTCTCAGATTTTTTCATTTTTTTCTGTGACCAGTTATTTTTCTTTTCAGTATAGCTGCTTATCTGCTTATACGATGAATGTTTAAAAATAGTCCAATAAATTACTATGACAATCTTTAAAATTATCAAAATGATATTTTTAATATCATAAAGTTATTTTTAAATTGCATGCATTTCACAGATTTTATTTATTCCTAAATAATTTAAGTCAACAACATAATTATTTTAGGAAATTATGTGTACCATTTTTATGTTTTTTCAGGTCTATGCATGGGGGTGTGGAGCTTGTCTAGGTTGTGGTTCTTCAGAAGCGACTGCTTTGAGACCCAAACTTATTGAAGAACTGGCTGCTACAAGAATAGTTGATATTTCTATTGGAGACAGTCATTGTTTGGCTCTTTCTCATGGTAAAGTAATTTGTTTTTAAAGAAATAGTACTGATTCATCTTCTATAAATATATTACATTTAAATTTGGCTTTTTTTCTATACTTTTTGTTTTTAGATAATGAAGTTTATGCCTGGGGCAATAATTCTATGGGGCAGTGTGGCCAAGGCAATTCTACAGGTCCTATTACTAAACCAAAGAAAGTGAGTGGCTTAGATGGTATAGCTATTCAGCAGATTTCAGCTGGAACATCACATAGTTTGGCATGGACTGCTCTTCCTAGGGACAGGTAAGAGTGCCTGTGTTTAAAAATTCTTGTGTTTTGCGGCGGCACCTGTGGCTCAAAGGAGTAGGGCGCTGGCCCCATATGCCGGAGGTGGCAGGTTCAAACCCAGCCCTGGCCAAAACTGCAAAAAAATAAAAAGAATTTGCTTAAAAAAAAAAAAATTCTTGTATTTTAATACTATCAGTAACATGAATAAAAAAATCTGTGCTTTATTCATAAAATGCCCTTCTGAACATTTCTAGTATTGGTTTTTTTACTATCATAGAAATAATGTACTATCTTTTGATTTGACTATTGAGATTATATTTCATAAATAAGAAATTATATCTTGTATTTAAAACATTTTCTTAAACATTTTGAATTCTGTCTTTATATACTGATTAAAAAAATGTCTACGTATCAAGAGGAGATTCAGCTAAAATAATTAAAATCAGATGGAGGCTTTATTGATTTAACTTGTTTGACCTTGGTGTCCCTGATCTGGTTGCTTTTGTGAAAAAGATAATGGCCATACTTGTTTTTTTTTTTTTTTTTTTGAGACAGTCTCAAGCTGTCGCCTTGGGTAGAGTGCAATAGCATCATAGTTCACAGCAACCTCAAATTCTTGGGCTTAAGTGATTCTTTTGCCTCAGCCTCCCAAGTAGCTGGGACTACAGGTGCCCACCTCAATGGCTGGTTATTGTTTTTTTGGTTGTAGTTGTCATTGTTGTTTGGCAGGCCTGGGCTGGATTCAAACTCACCAGCTCCGGTATATGTGTCTGGCGCCCTAGCTGCTGAGCTACAGGGACCGAGCCATACTTGTATTTTTTTTAAGGGACAAAGTCTCAGTCTGTCACCTAAGCTGGAGTATAGTGGTGCAATCATAGCTCACTACAGCCTTGAATCCCCGGGCTCAAGCAATCTTCCTGCCTTAGCTTCCTGAGATCTAGGATTATAGGTGAGCATCACTACATCCAGCTATTTTTTGCATATTTTTTGTAGAGAGAGGGTCAATATGTTACCCAAGCTAGTCTTAAACTTCTGATCTCAAGTGATTCTCTGCCTCCTCCGCCTCCAAAGTGCTGGGATTAAAGGCATGAGCTGTTGTACCTGGCCCCAGTGGCCATACTTTTAAATTAAGGAAGTTACTTTTGCAGAAATTTAGCTCTTTCCTAAATTGATAACCATATATAATTTGATTACTAATCAGGTGGGTGATTTTTATTCACTGTTAGGAAATTGAATTTAAAGGAACATTTGGGTTCAGATATTTGTGGTTACACGTGCTAATTTACAACTTAGAATGTATTATATTTTCAGAGTATACCTTTGATTCAGGGGAGGTTTATTTTGACATGACATTCTAACTAATTAAAAACACAGAAGCCAAAAATACATAAGTTGAGCATAAATACTTTGTTTTTAGTATTAAATCTACAACTTTACACTTCATAGTTGGGTCCCAAGAACTTCAAAATAGTCACAAGAGATTTCAGGGGTTTTTCTTTTAATAGATTTTAGTATATCATCATAGAGTCAGGATATTTTTCTTAATATGAAAAATATATTTTCTAGACTCTGAGAATCATAAAGGGTTTTAATAGATCATGTGGCTCAGCCCTCTGCCTTCAGGTGAGTAGATATTCAAACCTTCCAAACCAGGTGGTGGTTATATGGTTTCTTGTGGAAGATGGCAAATTCTTGGTTTTCCTCACTTGCTAAAGTGAAGGGTTTTTATCACTTTTCATAATCAAGAACATCTTCTATGTATCGTGGTGAAATCTTTCAGCTTTAATATATATTAATTTTTGATTATGTGTGAAAATTTCATGTTAGGCTTGTTTCATGATTTTATTCTGTGTCCTTCTAGACAAGTTGTTGCATGGCACCGACCTTATTGTGTAGATCTTGAAGAGAGTACCTTCTCACATCTGCGTTCTTTTCTTGAAAGATACTGTGATAAAATAAACAGTGAGATTCCACCACTCCCTTTCCCTTCATCAAGGTATGTTATGTATATGTATATATGTGGTGTGGTGTGTGTGTGCATGCATGCATATTACTATGTTTGAGTTTTGAATATTCTTGTTTGCTTTATTCCTCAATTATGCAAGGTTTTTATACTCTACAAAAGAGCTAAATTTAGATACTTATTGATGATAACCTCTAGGAAAAAGTTATTTAGTATTTCACAAATCATGTTTTAAAAATTACCATTCATGGCTGGGTGCTTGTAGCTCAGTGGCTAGGGTGCCAGCCACTGCTCCAGTGCTGGTGGGTTCGAACCCACCTGGGCCTGCTAAATAAACAAACAAAAAAATAGCCAGGCATTGTGGCAGGCACCTATAGTCCCAGCTACTAGGGAGAGGCAAGAGAATTGCTTGAGCCCAGGAGTTTGAGGTTGCTGTGAGCTACGATGCCATGGCACTCTACTGAGGGTGACAAAGTGAGACTCTGTCTCAATAAAACAAAACAAAACAAATTACCTTTCATGACTTGACAAAATTTTTAAAGAGAAAAAATATTACCCAACCTAGGTAGCCTGTGTACTTTGATGTTTTGAAAACTGACAGTGGTTTGTCTGATTTTAGGGAACACCACAATTTTCTCAAGCTGTGCTTGAAACTACTTTCCAATCACCTTGCTCTTGCACTTGCGGGAGGGGTAGCTACCAGCATTCTTGGGAGGCAGGCAGGTCCGCTTCGAAATTTGCTCTTCAGACTGATGGACTCAACTGTCCCAGATGAAATCCAAGAGGTAAGTGGACTCATGAATCTGTATCTCAAGCCACAGCTTTCTTTGAAATTTTAGTTATGTAATATATTCAACTGTGCATTGGACAACTGCAGTTAATTCAAGTTGTGGTTAACTCATCCTTTAAGACAAAGGTCAGTTGCCATCTCTGAGAAACTTTTCATTTCCTGCCCTCCCACCAGATTAGGATTCTTTCATATATGTTCTCATTACATCACATTGTATTATAGTTGCCTATTTACAAACATGTCAAAAAAGAAAAAAATGCAAACTTCTACACTGAAAACTATAAAACATCATTGTAAGAAATTAAAGAAAACCTAAAAGAATGGACAAACATCCCATGTTCATGGATTACAAGAGTTAATATTGTTAAGATGGCAATATTTCCAAATTGGTTTACAGATTCAGTATAAGCACTGTCAAAATTCCAGCTGCCTTTGTTTGACAGAAATTGACAAGCTGATCTTATAATTCATAGGGAAATTCAGGGGACCCAGAATAGCTAAAACAATCTTGAAAAAAGAACAAAGTTGGAATACTTAATACTTTTCAGCTTCAAATCTTGCTACCTTTTTGCTGTAGTTATTAAAACATCATGGTACTGGTAGAAGGATAGATATACAGATCAGTGAAATAAAATTCAGGGTCTAGAAATAAAATTCATACATCTGTGGTTTATTGATTTTCTACATGAGTGTCAGAGCGATTTCACGGAAGTAATAATTATCTTTTCAACAAAACAGGACAATTGTATGCACATATACAAAAGAATGAAGTTGTGCCTGGGTGCTGTAGCTCATGCCTATAATACTAGCACTCTGGGAGCCCAAGGTGGTAGGATCGTTTGAGCTTGGGAGTTTGAGACCATGTGACCAAGAGCGAGACCTCATCTTTACTAAAAATAGAAAAATTAGTCAGGCATTGTGGTGGGCACCTGTGGTGGGCTACTTGGGAGGCTGAGGCAGGAGGATTTCTTACCAATTTTACCACAAATTGCTGTGCCTTGGCTATTGTTTTTTTTTTTGGGGGGGTGTAAACTCTTGATGTCTGCCCTTTAGGGTCTTTTCTGTTGGACTAGTCATATTTCCCAAAGGAAGACTCTTCTTACATACTGGCAGAAGGTATAAACCTACATAACAGTTTTCTTTCTGGTGGGGGAAGAAGAGCTTAGAGTCTCAACATTCAGAATGAACACTTTGTCTTAAAATCTATTTTCAGTTTGGTATTCTTACTCTCAGCTGTGCCTATTATCTTAAGCAGTTTTCAACCAATCTTGCTGTTTTGAGCTTCTCCTTTTGCATTATGTTGCAAAAGTATCTGAGCCTCTAGGAATTCTATAGTGCTTTTTGGTTTTTCTCACTTTTGACATAGGATGCTGCCTTTTCAGGTTTTTTAAGTTAATTACCCTTTATCTGTTTCTGCTTCCAAAATTTTGATGCTGTTTTCTCCTTTACCCCCCACTTTTTGGGTCCTTTTGTATTATTCCTAGGGACCCCCCCATTCTTTTAAATGGGCTTTTAGAAAGGGAGTACATGCCTTCAGTCTTCAGTCCTTGGTCATCTTTGATGAATTTGCATAGCTAAAATTTAGTTTGATTATAATAATCTGAGAAAGTCATTAAAGTTGCTTTTTGATGGAAGGGTTAATAATTCTTTTTGTGTACTTGAAATTTTTAATTATTATACTAATTTAAAGAATTAGCACTATGGCATTTATCTAGTCCAACACTGATTTTACTGGCAAAGAAGTCATGACCCAGACAAATTATAAGGCTTAAGATAATGTAGCTCGCTATTCCTTAGCTGTTCCTAGTACTTGCACCTTTGTCCGATTAAAAACTGCTGATTTGTAATCCTTAAATGCCTAATCTTTAGGGAGAATTTCCATGAGCTCATAGGCCATGTTAATTGTCCTTGTGTGTGTGTGTTACTCCTCACTTCCTTTTACTTTCCCTATAACTCCTTTCACATTTGTAATGACTTGTGCGGGTCTTTCTTTCCACTAGACTGTGTGCTTCGGAAAATTGGGTTTTTGTCTGTCTTGTTTATTTCTGTATCCATATCATTTTGTATAGAGTCTTACGAGGCCCAACACTGTAGACACAACACTAAATATTTGTTGGGTGACAATTAGCGCTTTAGTGCAAATCCAAAATATGTTTTTTAGTCTTCCTGAAGTCATTGAAAGAAAGACTTGCATGCTATTTTATCTTCTTTAGACTTCTGTGAACCTAATAGGTGATGGGTTCACTTTTCATGTATTTTTATTGCAAAGGTAAGAACCAGGCCTATCAATCTACCTTTCTTTTTTTGATATTAGGTGGTAATTGAAACTCTGTCAGTGGGAGCAACCATGCTATTACCTCCATTACGAGAACGGATGGAATTGCTTCATTCTCTTTTACCCCAAGGACCTGATAGGTGGGAAAGCTTATCTAAAGGACAGGTAAGCCTTTGCATGGTATGTAAGTAAATCAGTAGTATCATAAAAAACTGGACTGAGGGAAAAATAAAGCTAATCAATTGCTATGTGTTCATGGAATATAGTACTTAACTTGATGGGTCTGGTAAATCCCAGTTAATGTTACATGTTGGAAGAATTCCCAGATGTCTAATGACTACAAATGAAGCCAGTGATAATTTATTGTTATTTGGGGCTAATTATTACTATAATGACTAATTTTTCCAATGTTGCTTGAGGTGTCAAACCAGATACCCTTTGGTCTATTTGTAGTGCTGAGTTGAAATCAAGGGGATGGGCTGCTGTTGATTCAATGCCCAGAATTTTGTATGAAATTGTTTGTATAAAGAATAAAAGATGACTGTTAGGAAAATGAATTTGATAAGATGAATATGCTTATTCTCCATTTTTATTATCTTATGTATATTAAAATAACTTTATTCAACTAAGTAGAAAAATTAGTTGTACAGATATAGATTTGATGAAAATAGTACCTATTGGCAATGTAATATTCACCGATACTTTTCAATGAATATTCTGCATTAGTTTAGATTTCAAGTGATTTATTTTATTTTATTTTATTTTGGAGACAGATCTTGCTCTGTTGCCTAGACTGGAGTGTAGTATGTAGTAGCACAGTCATAGCTCACTGTAGCCTTGAACACCTGGGCCCACGTGACCCTCCTACTTGACCTTCCCAAGTGTCTGGGGCTACAGGTGGATGCCACCATGGTTGGCATATGTGTGTGTGTGTGTATATATATATATATATATATTTTTTTTTTTAAGAGATGGGGTCTCACTATATTGCCCAGGGTAGTCTTGAAATCCTGGCCTCAAGTAATCCTCCTCCTACCTTGGCATTACAGGACTGACCTTCAAGTGATTTATTTTAAACATTAGAATAAGTGATTGTCATTGGTAATTCTGTAGAATAATGTGAAATTTAATTTATTGGTTGGCATTTCCTACTCCTCTCTACCTATGGTACAAAAATTATTATGTATAGTATGCCTTGTTGGTTTAGAGTTTTAGGTATTATTATAATGAAAAGTAAAATAAATATAAATGTAAATAAATGAAATGTAAGTTGTATTTCCTAAATGGTATTAATTGGATTCCTTTTCTTACAATTACACATTTGCAGAAGATTACTATTTATCAGATTATTAAGTGGATTATTTGGGATCATTGGTATAGTTTTTTTCTGGGATCCTTTTTGTTTTCTACATTTTTAGCTAAATATTTACTTGTTCCTATTTCTCTGTTTTTTAGAGAATGCAACTGGATATCATTCTGACCAGTTTGCAAGATCATACCCATGTAGCCTCCCTACTTGGCTATAGTTCGCCCTCTGATGCTGCAGACCTCTCCTCTGTATGTACTGGCTATGGAAACTTGTCAGATCAACCTTACGGCACTCAGAGTTGTCATCCAGATACCCACCTGGCTGAAATTTTGATGAAGACCCTCCTAAGAAATTTAGGATTTTATACAGTAAGTTGCTTTTTCATTATAGTCAAAAAAACAATAAGGGGTAGGGATCTTTTCAGGTCATGTATTTTGACATTTAAACACTTATAAATAAAACTCTAGGCCCCTTTCCTCAAAGGGGAAAACATGTCAGATCTTCGGAAATATTGTGGGGGTCAAATAACATGTAGTTCAGAATTCTAAAGAGATTTATTTTAGAATTTTACCAATGTCTTCTGTTACTAATGTAGAAGAATAAACAGATTTAAATAGTCACAAACATTTTTAAAGAGAAGAATATGAGCAAGGGATTAACCTTAGCATAAGTGTAATCTTACAGTGAAACAGTGTGAGGGTACTAAGAATAGGTTAATCTGTAGAAGAGAAGACAGTGGACCCTACAGCTTTCTTGTATTAGGATGCCATTAATTCTTACTCTCTGGTATTTCTTAAATTCCTCCCTTTTTTCTTTCCATTTTTTTTGGATTCTAACCCATGCCCTTATGATCTAATACTAATAGCAATGTTGTAGCTGTTGTCACAGCTGGTTTCTTTTGCTGGTTTCTTTTAAGCATCTTACTTCTGGAATAACCTTGTGTTAAATAACCTCTTTGTATTAAATTAAAACCTCTTCAGACCTTTTATCATCAACTCATGTACCATTTTTATCTGAGCTCATCTTTTCCCCGGATTGTATGCCGTATATAACTATTTCTTGTTTGTTCTTCTCTACCAATCTGTGCCTTAAGTCTTGACGACTCTAGGAAGTCTTACCTAAATAATCCCATATAACCATGTAATTATAGCTGCAAACTCCTGTATTCTTCAGCCTTTTGGGGATTAGAATATATCATTTATATTATTGAATTTCAATAATATTCAATTTAATTTTGAATTATTTGTGTATCATTTCATATTGTCTCCTGTACCTCTTCAGTGCCTCGTCTCTATGTTCTTCTTCTTCCATAGAAGTCTTAGTGCTCTGTTCTGTCCACATTAAAAGTCTGTTGAGCCTGGGCGCGGTGGCTCACGCCTATACTCCTACCACTCTGGGAGGCTGAGGCAGGTAGATTGCTTGAGCTCACGAGTTCAAGAACAGCCTGAGCAAAACAAGATTGTTTCTATTAAAATAGAAAAACTGGCTTGGTGCCAGTGGCTCAAGTGGCTAAGGCCCCAGCCACATACACCTGAGCTGGCGGGTTTAACTCCAGCCCGGGCCCGCCAAACAACAATGAGGAGCGACAACTTGAGGCTCTGTCTCAAAAAAAAAAAAAAAAA